CGTGAACTGGCGTCTGCCTCCTACGAACTACGGTTATGGCGGCGTCACGCATGCGTGGAACGATTGGAGAGATCGGTCTATTTCCACCCCTCCCCGTTTCGATCTGGATGAGAATCGTACCGGCGTGCGGTCGTGTATCACTACTGCGTGATGCACGTTAAAGACCCCAGTCTAGAGGTTGTACTGCACTGGATAAATTGCTCATATACAGCTGGAAGACTCGTCGCCTGTTGAGGCAGAACAAATTCTATGCTGAATAAACATACACACAACCCAATATTTTTTTGAAGCGAATGGCAGCGGAGCACCCGCTCGCGGAACGTGTCTTTCGCGTTTCCACACTAATGGCCGGCGGTACTTGTAAGCGTGAATTTTATCAAGGGACTTTAATCAAAATGGCTGGCATCTCGATGATGATCGCAAAACAGCATTACTACGTTGAGTATACGACGCCTAAGTAATTATATTTTTCTTAAACACGAGCAATATAAGAGCCTTGCTTCACTCTTCCACGTCAGAAATGTGTACCCGAGGAGCTTAATTCTGAAGCCTATCATCCAGGAGCTAGGGATCGCAATTCGCACATCGCGGTACCACGATCACTGAAAGTTGCGAATATCAGCAAAGGAAGGATGTAGCTGGAAGTTCCAAGTGAATGACGAGACCAAAGGACCTGCCTCCTATACCGTAACCCGATCTGCATCGGGATAATGAGCATGACGGGCCTTGTGTCGTCGTCTTCTTACCTTGTCCTACTCTTTGGGTGCTTGTCTTTTCCCATGAGCATGACGTTTTGTTTCGCCTGCTTAGCAGTACAAAGAAAACTATTTTTGTCAGATATTTTATTGATGCGTATAACTGAATCGTCTCCATTTTTTATTTAAACTTATTGGATGGGCAGTTTGTCTGGAGATAATCTGGTGGCAATGTGTTGTACATATTTCCCGGTTTTAAGAAAGCAACCCTGGATTGGAAACTGCCGCTTTTTTTAAATATGAGAAGCAATGAGTATTATTCCCGCAAAAGAGCGCATTTACCCAGCAAACATACTACTATACAATTGACCTTCAAAACCACTATATCACTATAGCATTGTTCAGTCTAGCGTTCTTTAAATGTTAAGTATCATAACTTTTTACAGAAAGTGTGATTGGATCGACGTGAAACATTCGGTCACCTATGTATAAGCGATTATAGCGAAGTTGAAACTTGGCGTTTTGGGTTCTGGTAAATTCCAAAAGTTTTTTGCGTTCATTTCTGGTCTTCAACGAAAAATCTTCGCTGAGTGAGTAGGCGGTGCTCTTCGATTTGACACGCTGAACAAAACGTCTTCATTTACTTTGAATGATGTAGATTTCCCGAAACTAGGCCTGTTTTTATTAGGTCGGAACGCTCCTAGCCTATTGGAACATTCCAAAAACGAGGCATCAAACTTCATACCAAAAGCCTCCTGGCAAAGTGAAATGACCTTAGCTTCAGAGGCAGTCCAAATCTCTCCATAACTGTCAGGTATCCCAAAAAAAATCAGATTTGACCTCCTTGACTGTCCTTCAACATTTTCCCACTGCGAAGCCAAGCTTTTAACCCTAGAAGCCAACTCAGCTGTAAAAGTAAGGAGACAATTTACATCATTCCGCAGTTGCGGAACAGTCTCCAAGTTAGCCTCTACCGATGTGAACCTGGTTGCTAATACTGCTAGCTTTTTCTCTGGTTGCTTTGAATTGTTTTTAGTTCGTTAGAAAGCGCCGTTTGACCGACTTGTAGTTGAGGCAAAATATCCAGACTTTGCAAGATAAGCTGTTGCTGATATTCCGTCAGGGGTAAAACAGGTCAGGGGTAGAACTGAGGTAGAACAGGTAAGTTGAACACAATGATCGATAGCTCCACAATACCAGTTGGCGATGCTGGTTAACACCGACCGATAGCGAGTGAATCAGTGTTGTTGGCTTATCGACAGTTAAGAGCGCTCGTGTAACTAGGGTTCATGACGGCGCAACTGTCATTGTGCTGCCAACGATCATTGAGTTCTATTGAACGGGCCTACTTCAGTTAACTAACTTATGGGGGTTCGCCCCAATAGAGCGCAATGATGGCGGCATTCGCCGTATTGCCGCCGATCGACAGCGCCAGCGGAAGTTTGGGGGGGGGGGGGGGGAGGTTTGAGGGGGCCATGTAGAAGGTATCCAGCCAATATTTTAGTGGAGGGTGTTATTCGGGGCCAAAGCAGCCACTAAGACGGTTACGGCAGATCACGGAAGCCCACGCTCAAGGAGCGCTGCCATTGTGATGTCGGTTATGATGAGACCATAAAGTAGTATTATAGTGTAACGTTAAGAGTGGCCGGTTTTATAGGCCCCAGCGGCTCACTGGACTGTCGGAGCACGTAGCGGCTGTTACGGAGTTGGTCTCGTCTTCCTATTTAAGCGCTTCCGTTCACTGCACGGCTAAAGACCTCCACGGCTGCTATGTAAATGGGTGGATATAAATAATATATTTAATTAAGATTGTATCAGGAGGTAGCTTGCGGCACCTAGTCTACCGTGATTAACTAGAAGTTTGAAATTTGGTCAGAATCCATTGCTCAAAATGCACGCATTAATTCTGAACTCCAGAGTACATCATGTACAACATGAAGTATAAAATTCAAACCGCTGCACTCGACAGAAAATAAAGGACCCGAGAACGAGATAATTGATAAATGCGCAAATATGTATTCTGACAAAAAAAAAAGGAAAGAGTTTTACTGCACCTTGTAATGCCGAATTAGAGCGCAGCTCTTGAGGAAGAGGAGGGAAGGGTACTGAGGGGAGGGTAGACCCCTCCTCTGTCCTTTTCACCTCCTCATCCTCCCTGGTACTCCACCTCCCCTCTCCCTCTGCCTCGTCCTCCTCCTCTCCCTCCTCCTCCTCTTCCCCTCCCCCTCCTCCTTCCCTTACCCTCTTCTCCCTTCTCCCCCTCTCCTCCTCCTCCCTCCTCCCCCTCGCCCTCCTCCCCCTCATCCTCACCGCGCGTTCCATCATGGGAAATGACCCATCATGCACCGCGCGATAACGCCGACGGCGACGCCGCTCAGCTCGGAAACGGGCGCCTAAAGGCTGAACTCCATGGAGCGACTTAAGCGACGAATAACTGACCAACGCCGCCCTACGGCACGCTCGCTTTTCGCGCGACGTCGCAGCCAGGCAAAATTCGTTGGTTGGTCGCAGCATATTCGTCCCATGGAGTTCAGCCTTAAAAGGATGCTGAACCGAAATCTGGATCCCACAATACACGCGGCAAAAGCGTGCAACGGGATGCTACAAGCACCAAAACATCACTCAAAGAGCGATATCGCGAACGGATTACGGTATTTTTCAAGAGAAGGAGGCGCATTTGACAGAAATGTTCACGTCATGTTTTTCCGAGAAGGAGAGTGAACGGCCTTGCGCCTTCTCCGCCTCGCCGCCTTAAAGGAGCGAAGCGAAAAGAGAAGAAAACTAGGTATCTCACGTCACGCGCCTCGTCGGCCTGGTTCAATCTCGACCTCCTTTTCCCAAAATACGGCCGTCCATTCGAGATATCGCCTTACGAGTAGTGTTGTAGGGATTGTAGCGTCCCGCCTACATCTCCTGCATTGTTTTTTTGTGTTTTTTAAATCTAAATTTCGGTTCACCATCTCTTTAAGAGCTGCTCTCTAAAACACAATCATAATAAAAATAGCTTATTTGCTGGCGTCCGTAAAAACTTGTACTCCATTTCACCATGAGGGCGAGCATAGGAGGAGCAACGAGAACGAGCTTGACGCTTTAAACGTTCATAAAAACCTGTAATCCCTGAAATTAACGCACGCTAGTGAAGTCGAAATGTCGTTCAAGACAACACGCGGGAGTCCGTAGCGTCAGCTTGGTTTAGTTTATGGGGAACAGAAAATAGCTTTTCGGCAACGCAGCTGAAGTTCAACAGACACCTGAATAATTACCACGTGGTTGTACTTTAACCGTCTAGCCTTCGCAACAAAGAAAGAACGTCGAGAAATCCACACTATGGCAGCAGCAAAAAGCACCATCCACCCCCCGCCACCTTGGATGCACTATGGTGGCTGGTCGAGCCTGCTGCCAAGTCGTAAGTCTTACCAAAGCCTCAGTCGGGGTCGTTGTGATATTTTTTTTTCAAAATCCTTGTAATGTACTGAGAGTTTTAAAATATGTAGATTAAAGTAAAACTATATCCTAATGGCACAAATATAACAAATGTATGGATAATTAGGAACTACTCTGCCATTGGGGGGGTTTGTAAATCCTATAACAGCTGGGCCGCGAAAGGGCTTCAGTGGCCACTCTTTACGTATCACTTTATTACTCTATGATAAGACTTTCGTTATGCCTCTCTCGCTTCAGTCCGTTTGAAACGTTCTGATTATCGCTTTTTGCTCCATCAATTGGAAAATTAGTTTCTTATATTTTGTTTTAAACGTTTATGGTAAATAAAAAGTGTGAATATCATTCATTTGCATCACTTTTAAAATAGGATAATCTGTCTTCAGTTTTGGTTTTGTCTCGGTTTCAACTGGGTCACTTCAGGCGCATCTCAACTCTGGTTGTTTGGCCTATGTACCGTGCAAACACCGTGGACAACTTAGTTGAGCTCAATGACATTTGTGAGATGCAAACGATCGTTGTCGCGATTCCAGAGCGCCGTCGGCCGTCGTTTTCTCATCGAATATTTAAAAAAAAAACAAAAAAAAAAAAACGTATAACATTAGAAAGAAATAAGAGTCAGTTCGAAACTTTGGTATCTGGTTCAGATCACCAGCACTATATTTGGGCGAAAAATGTGAGTTCGGCAGGTGCGTAGTTCATATTTGCGGTGAAACAAACCATGCAATACTTTTTTTTTTTTTTAATCTTCATGGGGACACCTTGTTTATAATGGTACTTTTTCCATGCTCTATGAACCTGAACAACTTATCCTGAGCAGAGCTTGAATGAAGCAATCCCCCATAAAAATTTTTAAAGCTAATTTTAATATTTGCTTGCCTGAACTAAGAAAATGTCCTGGCGATAATATGGATCCCCGGCCGGTTTTTCACTCCACATCTTCCGGATAATCTCCGCCAGGTCAGTCTCATACAGCGTCTTCGATTCTTTGGACAGGAATGGTGCAATGGGATCTGCACCGAGTTGAGTTTCTGTAAAGAAAGGGGCGGGAAAAAACGACATATTTTTTTCTGATTTTAGCTAAAACAAGTAGACACGTGAAACAAAATACCATATTTTTTGGTCTATACTTCGCAGCTTTCTATACATAGTAATCGGTTATTTTGGTTATTTTCATAAGAACGGTTGGCATATAAGTAGCACATTTCTATAAGTTTCCCCTGTATATTTCTACGGACTGCAATGCATAACTGCAAATAAATGCTCAAAGACATGTGTTATGATAAACAAAATACGCGAAAGCGAGATCATGTTTCAATTTTCTTGGCAATGAAGCGAATTAGAAAAGTTTCGTGACGAATTTCCACTGATTTAAGTTGCATCGTTTTCTAAGACGCATCAAAAAATATTTTGTTCGAAAAAAACGGCATTTGTTTACCGTAAGATACGATAGAAATATTCTAACTATCTTTCGTCTTAAAAATGCACTTCCTTGACTGCTGTGCACCGGTTATCATTGGGTCCGCGTGCAAAACTCGAGAATAAACGACAGCAAAAATGTGTTGAGACCTAAAAATAAAGTCTGGGTAGCGGCATTTTCTGTGCATGGCGTGAGCCTGAGAACACCCGAGCTCAGTGTCGAAATACAGGCTTTATTAATGCATAATTTTGTTCTCACTGAGGCTACCCCTAATTTAGCATTAAAAAGTGAAACATGCCTTGGTGGAAGAGAGTTAGCCGGATGCCAAACAACTGCGCTGAGAGTTCCGCCTGCCACGTGACACATCTTCACGATAAAAAAGAAGCAAAAAAAAAACAAAAACAAAAAAACAAGAAGAAAGTACAACAAGAAAAGAAAAAAAAAAACAGAAGGGGTCGGGTAAAGTTTCTATATAAGAACTTCTTACAAGTAGCGATATTCTTTGAAGCGCCGACTGCGTGACGGAGCAGATAATAGGAACGAATGGCGGCGCGCAACAGATGACTGAACTGATTGACGCCGTTTTGTGTAAGCGGAATGTACTTTGTTAATTGTATTGGTTGTCGTTACGGTGCAAAAAGAAGTATCGAGGGAATTTAGGGTTGGGGACGCCGAGACGCTTTAAGAAGATTTCGCCAGCTGCGAACGCCTGGAAAACAACAATCAAAAGAAGTAATAGACACAAGAGGTAAACTTGGTGACGCTGACTCGGCGTCACGTGTCTGGAAGGCTGACCTTGAAGCTGTCGTCTGCTGTGTTCCTCATAAAACGCGATTCTGCATATTGTGGTTTGTGCGATAGCTATAAATACAGCTGTAATTTTTTTTAAGTGATAGATTTAAGGATATTGTGTTCCAGAAAGTCGGCGTCGACGTCGACGTCGGTGTCGGTGTCGACGACAAGCAGATCTATTGTTTTAAAAACGATCTACAACACTTTTTGTTGAGCAGATAAAAAACTTTTAACATATAGAAAAGGTTCAGAACGTCCTAGCCAGCCGAGCTTCGACTGACAATTTGAAATAACACTTTGCACTCGCCTCATAGATTGACAAAGTAATATCTCACCTCTTTAGCATTGGAATTGACATAGAGGACCGCCATGCGCGACCTCCATATGTTCCACAATCTACGAAGCGCAATCAAATCAAAAGGAACGCCTTTTTTATTCGTTACATTCAATAAGTGAATGCCGGTTGGGCTAATAAAAGCTGTTTCTTTAATTTACGCTGAAAAACGTCCCCCCCCCCCAAAAAAAAATATATATATAAATATACATTGCATCGCAGCAAAATATACAACGTGTTCGGTAGTTTCCGGTTTCTCACATAGCAGATAGTCAACCAACCATGGCGCATAATTTTCTCTTTCACTGAACCACACCTTAACGGGCTAAGTGTTGGTGTGCAACTTAAAAAGAAAGGTTACATCGGAAAGAAGGACACACATTCCGTTAACCTGGTTAAAGGGATACTGAACCGAAATTTCGACCTCACAAAACAAGGCTGGACGGATAGGCCGTACGTTGCGAAACATCAAAACATAACTCATACAGCGATATCTTTAAAGTACCGCCCTATTTTTGGAAAAGCGCGCTTGGCACGGCCGACGAGGCCGACGAGCCAAGTAACATCGCAATTCTCATTCCCTATCCTCCTCGCTATGCCCCGTCGCGCTGGTAAACTGAAGCGAGGAGGAGAGAGGCAAGCCCGCTTCCCCTTATTCTCAAATTTTGCAGGGGACAATGACGTCAAAGATCTCGCTTGATCGCGCCCTCCTTTTCCAAATGTACGGCCATCCGTTTGAGATATCCATGTATGACTTACGTTTTGGAGTTCGTAGCATCCTGTTCAACACTTCTGCGGCCTTATTTTGTGAAATCTAAGCTTCGGTTCAGTATCTCTTTAAGCGTACCCTGGCCACCGCGACAGATGACACCTCTATAAAGTGGTGTTAGGGACAAACTAATGACCATATCAGGTGTAAGCGTCTTCTGGATCACAACACACAGATAGTCTAACAAAAAACAAGCATACATAAATTGCACTGCGTCGAAGACTTCTTTCGAGTATCCACGAGACCTTTTGGAGTACCGCGATGTGACGACGCAAGGATCGACGGGCCGTAGCCCACTGTTCTCGCGGCCTCTTCTGACCCTCAGCAACGCGCTCAAACCGCAGCGAATAAGCGTCTAAGTCATCCTTCTGCTCATTGAACGGCGGCATCAATTTATGGGGCGCAACTACGCCCGCTTGGGTCGTATGGCCTCTTCATCGAGCTGTACTTGTGTCAATCTGACCTCTCGTTGTAACAAAAGCAATTCCTTCTAACTTTCCATTTCCAGAAATCTTAGCCTTGTTTCCTCTTCCCTTCTATGTAGCTGCGGCACAGCCTCCTCCTTGCGCCAAACGCGCTCTGCGTTGGGCTCTCTCCTTCTCAAGCCATGCAAACAATTCCTTTTTCTCTAAACCAAACTGCTTTCCCTGTTCAGTCAGCTTCTCAACCTCTGAATCCACCATCACTCTAAAAACAAAATAACCGTAGCACCCTACTCTACTCCAACATTAAGAGCTCAGTTCGTCCACCCAAACTGGGCACTTGGCCGACCGGTTCTGTCGCGGACGCCAGTTATTGACCCATTGCCCACGCCTGGAGGTTAGAGGCGCGATTCCCCCTTAACGGTGCGCCCGGCGGCCCTCTACAACGACTGTGGACAACATTTATTTTTGTTGAGGCCGGTCAGCCTGCGCTGTTGGCGCGTGTGCTCAAGTCGGGGAAGAACAGAATGAGCTCAGGCGGACACATGGAGTTTGAACAATAAACAATATATTTGCTTAAAAAAAAAAGAAATATAAATATCAAGGTTTGGCACATAGGCAAACAATTCACAACAAAAAAAAAAACCCAAAGCTCCACACGGAACTTCGGGGTTTTCTGCGTCAAACGGAACCACACGGAACTTAGCAGATTCTGCGTCAAACGTGGCAATTTAAAACAATTCGCATTCGCCACTTCATTAAAAAAAAAAGTCCTCTTTTTTGTAATATTCTTGAAGGTCATTGGGCGTATTTATTATTTCCTCAGAAATTAGTAATCACCCCTTCTGTATATTATTGATGCCTGTATATTGATGAAGAAGAATATCAGAACATCATCCACCGGTAAAAAAGACAATTTATTGACAACTGAGGGTGCGCCGTCGGTAGCTCTGTCAAATAAAGAGGTTTGTTCGTTGCGAGCTAGTATGAGTAGCGATGTGTGAACAGTTTCAGCTCCAAATATTGTGTAGTGCCTAATAGATAAGTAAGTGTTTGTTGAGGTAATCAGTGTCGGCTACGCCGTTTACTTTCTGTTAATTCCGCTAACAAAACTTTATTTCCGAGAACAGCTTCGTCCTGTCGTGTTTGTGGTCTTCACTCCGTCGTCGTCGTTTTAGCGGTTTTCATCATGTATAACGTTTACCAACTCGCCCTATTCGCTATTTTACAGAAGACTACTTCTTATATAGGTCACGAGTAACAACGGTGCCAGTGTGCAGCTCTGAAGGTCATTAGTAGCTCGCCGTGGAAGGGCACTATCACACAAAGGCAACGTGCGGAAACACCAACACGAACGGCTAGAAAACGGGCATGTCCGTGGTAGAAGGAAGCCTCGATATTCTACTGACTGTTTTATCCGGTTTTCAAAGGTTAATAAAAGCTTCAAAGAGAATTTCAGGCACCGCGTTGTTGCGCATGTACTTTCGAATTTTCGGCATTCACAGTTTTGCGTTTTAGGTTTTAGAGAGACATAAGTTTTCGAGCATTTTCATGTTATTCAAGTTCATAAAGTTTTCAGTTAGGCTTTAGTTCCCTAGAGAGTAAGCCACATAAAACACTAGCCCGCCATTATTAATTTGGGAGAAATATACTTAATAAGCTTAGCAAATAATACAAAAAACTACATTTCCTTTTTTGGCAAAGCTGGCGAACTTTAATGATAATAAATTGATATATGTTACGCAGGATCCAACAGCCTCCATATAAAGAGAAGAAAAAAATCGGTGAGCTTTTCTCCGCATCCGCTGAAAGGCCGGTGAGTTTTTCTCCGCATCTGCCGGTTTCGCGGTGAGCTTTTCTCCGGAGAGCTTTTCTCCGGAGAGCTTATCTCCGGTGAGCTTTTCTCCGGTGAGCTTTTCTCCGGTAAGGTTTTCTCCGGGATTCAGCGTCAATAGCGTCACGGCGCTGCCCGCCACCAGCACTCTGCATATTTCCGTCAGTATGTTAATTTTCTTTTTCTTATACGTGAGGTTCGATATTGTACTTTTCAGTTTCGGTTTTAACCGAAGCATTTGCCTTTCGATGGAGCAGAAATAGTTATCCTAGCATATGTTTAAAACATTACTGAGACAAGCTTAATTTTAGTGAATATATAAGAGCCGTCATGTTTAGGCTCCTCCAATACACAAAGCTGAAAGACCCAACCTTATCCGATCCAAGCACAAGCTGATCGGGGCGCGTGGCTAGCGTGGCGGTGTACTAAGTATGCACTTATACACCAAGAAGTTTTCTAG